CCACAGGTTGAGAACCGCTGCTATAAAGGGTAAAGGGGCATCATCCTTTCAACTTATTCTTAAACCTATTCAAGGAGGGGAAAATAAAAGTTTGTGTGGCAAATCTGGGCAAAGGAACTCTTTATACTACATCTGCAACTTTTTTAAAAGTCTGAAATTATTTCAAAATAAAGTATTTTTAAGAACTTAACAAAAAAACACCAACCTAACTGGTTGAATACTCTGTGCCTGGTTGTCTACATGTCTACTACTCCTACATCTGCTCTGGCTCTACTAGTACTCCAGAGGAAATGACTTATTCTGGCTCTCTCACACTTTTTAAAAAATCATAAATTTATAAATTATACACTCTTGTAAGTTCAAGCAATACAAAATTAAACAGAATAGAAGTCATGGTGTCCCGTTCCCTCTTTCTCCTATCCCCGCCACCACCACCAAAGTTTCCACTGTTAACAGGATGGTTGTCACATTATAAACATTCCTGGGCCTACACAGATAGACTAATGTGTTCATACACACACACATATACAGAGTCCCCCCAAGACTACTAAACATTGTTAAGTACCTTTTTTTAAACATAATATTACCATGGGCATATTTCTTAGTAAATACATATAGCCTTGTTTTATTCTTGACTGTTTTTTTCTCCCTCTCTAATGAATGCTTCTATTGTCCCTAAAATAATTGTCCAGGATTAATAAACCAACTTTAACGGTAGAACCATTCATAAGGACACTAGGATACCTGGTAGCTCACAGAATTGAAGCATGTACCAAATTGACAAGATTCCATCAGACATCAGGACAGCTCTGAAGACCTCAGTAGCAGGAGTTCAGAGATGTTTTCTCTAGTGGAAGACTATTAATGTGACTCCGCTCCAACCACTTTCATTTTCTATAGCTCTGCATTCACGGTTGAAATCTTCAGAACAGAAAAGCATTTTTGGTCACTTTGGGCAGCATCTGTCCCTTAAATAGTCAGCTATTGTCATGGGAGTAAGGGCACAGAACCTAGACATTGGCCTCGGGTACCCTTCCCAGGACCAGCAGAAAAACCATCCCAATCAACGTCTCTTTCCAGGGAGGCTCTGGTTGCTTTATGTCTGGTCTGTTCCAGTCTCCTAAGTCCAGAATATGGTCTTTTTAACCTTTCTATTCACAAGTAGTTCTTGAGCTTTATTTACATGTAAGTGAAAAAGGATTTTTTAAAAATTCCCTCAACAGTCTTGAATGTAATAACTGACTTTCTTTGAGTTTAGAGCATTGTAGTGTGGATGACTCAAACAACAGAGATTTAATTTTCTTAGTTCTGGTGGCTAGAAAGTCTAAGATCAAGTTGTCAACAGATTCAGTATCTGGCAAGGGCCCCCTTCCTTGCAGACCACGGGCTTCTCACTATGTGTTCACATAATCATGAGGCCTTCTAGTGATCACATGTACCAGGCATTACAAAAGTTGTTAAATAAAACTGTTCCTGTTGGTTGAGTCACCCGCATGACCTCATCTGAACCTAATTACTTCCCAAAGGTCCCACCTTCAATTACTATCACCTTGGGGTTAACATATGAATTTTGGGAAGGCACAGCATTCAGTCCATAATACATAAGCATATGTATTTGAAACTGCTCTTGTGTGCTCTTAAATATACTAGACTACTTAGGATACTGTATTTGTCAACAGTGTCTATACCTCCCAGAGTTGGCCCTAGGGAGGGAGTTCAGCTCTTGAGGATCATAATGAACCTCTGTTGGTTTGGTCACAATGCTTTAGGCCCATCTTGAAGATTGTCGGCTGTCCCTGTAGCCTGTCAGGTTGGGTTGTTTCTAAGTAACTGTTCTCAAATTGATATCATAACTGCTGTCCAGAAACTGTCCTTTCTGCTCACCTTGTAAAGAAGACAACATTTACACATGGAAAAGTTTCAGTTCATTATAAGATGGGTTTTGGTGAAGTATAGGCAAGAGAGTAAAAAAGTTGATTTTGAGAGGCACAGTTTTGACTTGGCAGTCATCTTATCCTGACAGCATTTAATGTGAAGTCACTGTGGCCAGAAAATAATCTTGTTAGGCTTTAATTAAAAGCACAAGGTATTTTTTCACGTCTCCTCCTTATCTATCTCCCTCTTTTAAATCTCTTCCTCTTCCATATTCTCCCTACCCCACCCTCTCTGCCTCCTCTTCATCATCTTTGAACATTTAAAATGTTTTGGGCTTGGCTAATCCCTATGGATAGAAACTGAGCTGAGCAGGATATTGATTACCAAATATGGTATTGCTGCTAAAGATATCAGAGGAATGTGGCTTGTATTCTAAGCCTCCAGCCTATGAAAAAGCTGCCAAACAAATTAGGTCATTTTAACTTCTTAGCTTTTTTAATAAGGAGCTGGAACTTTGATTTGGAACATGATGGTGGTGCTATTTTCTCTCAGTGGAGGAGGGGTGTAAAGAGGGGGGTGGGAGGTGGGGGAGACTCCCTTTGGTGTGTTTTAGGACCTGAGCCACCAGCTTAGGTTATGTAGGAGGCAAGCACATGTGTGGAGCCTCAGCTGACTCTGAAACACCAGTGAAAAAGCTGAGGCATCAAATTCAGATATGCAGCCTCATTACCTGAGGCTGGAAGCTCCAGAGGACTGACCGGTCCCAGGATGTTCTCCTTGCATTGCAGTGGCCCAGGCCACAGTGCTCAGGTTGATGTGGCTCAGGTTTAGAAAAGCTGCTTCTTCATAAAGAGGTTCATGGAGTTTAGTGCTGGTGAGGACATACTGAAACTGATGGCAGGTTGTCACATGTGTGCCTGAGGGTGTGTGATGTAAACATGCAAATTCTATCACAGCATACTTTAAATGACACACAGGGACTGCTCTTGCCTCCCAGAAAGACCACAGCCTTCGGGTCCATGTTTAGAAATGTTTATTCTGTTGTGATATTAGTGCTCATAGAGTAAAATGCTCTTAAGTAGAGTGGATGGGAGCAAACACTGCTTCAGAATTTTGCTTTGTTCTTTTTCCTTATACTGTATACATTTTTAGCAATATAATACTAAGGTTTCCCAGATTAAAACAAAAACTGAGACCAGTTAAAATAATTTTTTTCTGTCTCATATAATGCACTTCTTTTCACTTTTTGTTGTTGGTTAGGGCTGCACAACGAGAGTCCCTTTCTTCCCCTCCCCCCGTCCCCCCCACACACCTGTTTGCCACCTTCAGTTGGTTTCTTCTAAGACAGCGGTTCTCAACCTGTGGGTCATGACCCCTTTGGCGGTCGAACGACCCTTTCACAGGGGTCGCCTAAGACCATCCTGCATATCAGATACTTACATTACGATTCATAACAGTAGCAACATTAGTTATGAAGTAGCAATGAAAATAATTTTATGGTTGGGTCACAACATGAGGAACTGTATTTAAAGGGCCAGAGGTTGAGAACCACTGTTCTAAGAGAATCTTAAATCAGGCCCACAGAGAAATTCCACCCACCAGGACATCTGGGTCAGGCTCTGGCCTTTGTTGTACCTCTCAGAGGACCTGTCTTCCCTCTCTCTCCCACTTTATTTCTCTTACTGCTGTTTCCATCCACTCACAAGCTCTTCCTCCCATCTTTGGAACTAAGCCTGTGAAATTCAGTTGTTCATCCTGATCAGCAGAGTCAGAGATTCTTCCTAATTTCCTGTGGAAATTGCTCTTGTTTTTCTTCAGGCTAATCAAGGAGAAGAGAGGGGGCTTTGGGGCCCACAGGCCTACCTGTGTTCTTTAGGATAGTCATTTTCAGAACTTCTTTCCGAAAACATATACAGACAAACCTGGGACCTAAATCTGATTTTGGTGCATATTTATACACTATACTGGGGTATCTTTTTGATGATATGGTTTGTGTTCAGAATGCCAGTTATTGGACATAGGTGTCATGAAATGATTTGTTATGCTTAGCAATGGAGGCATTCTTGGATGGTGGGGGGGAGGGGCAAAATACACTTATCTTGCCCTAAATCAGCGGTTCTCAACCTGTGGGTCACAACCATCGGAAAACACATATAGCATATCAGATATTTACATTACGATTCATAACAGTAGCAACATTACAGTTATGAAGTAGCAATGAAAATAATTTTATGGTTGGGGGTCACCACATGAGGAACTGTATTAAAGGATCGTGGCATTAAGAAGGTTGAGAACCACTGCAAATCTTGTATTTTATAGTGTATGTGATTTATTTCATTGAATGTTTTTGTTTTAGGTAAACTGAAATAATTCGGTCAGGGTAATTGAAATGACTATCCTCTCTCTGGCCCATACAATCTGTTGTTTCTCTGTGTAGCTAATAAGCCAGCTATAATCAAGATCAGGACTTAACCACATCAAGACATTTAGATTTTATATAAATTTATAAGGCAACTGAAATTAAATGATACTTGTGATATTGAAATCTTAAAACTGTTTAATTTCTGTCTTAGTAACTCTGGGTACATGCGTCACTGTTGTGAAAGCTCTCCAGTTAGATAGGGATGGGAATTTCCCTCTGTAAGCTGAGGCATTGAAGAATCGCATTGTTTAAGTCAGTGTCAGTGTCAGTGTCAGAACGCGGGTCAGGCCTGGGCCTTTTATTATATTTCAGGAGTTAGACTTTCTAGTATTGCACAGGGTTTTACACTAATCTTTTTACTCTTATTGGTAACCATTAATTGAAGTGTTTATCTGTGCTCATAATTTGCTGGTCTAAGTTTAACACTTGAATTTGAAAGTTTTTGTCCAAGAGGAAAAGCCATGAAGAAGAGTTGAAAATCCATGTAACTAAAAAAGAAATAAATGAAATCTCCCTGGCTTTCTGGACTTGTTGGGTTATGAGTTTTCATGCATTCTGTGCAAAGTAGCGGGAATGAGAGCTCTTGCTGACTTTTTTTCTTTTTCAGATAGGCCAGGATTTACTGGTGTGTTTATTTTGTCATCATTCCGGTTTGACTCTAAGGAAATAAAAACATCTTCCATTTGTTCTTTTATTTCCAAAGGGCATCCGCTTCGATCCTGAAATTCCGCAAACACTACGACTAGAGTTTGCTAAGGCAAACACGAAGATGGCCAAGAACAAACTAGTAGGGACTCCAAACCCCAGTACTCCTCTGCCCAACACTGTACCTCAGTTCATTGCCAGAGAGCCATGTAAGTGGATCTACTTTTCATTTTTAAGGAAAACAAAAACGAAAAATGGATCACTAAGACTAGCTTATGTGCTGCATGTGAGAGCATACCATGGGACCGAGCTGGCTGAGGATGATGTTGAGTTCCGTGGAGAGGCTGCCTATTCGTGCTGTCGGAACTCCAGATACGGCTGTCTTGTTTGTGATTGGCTGTCTCAAATGATGGTTTGGCTAGATCAGAGCTATAACTACAAAATTTGGATGTGTTGTAGATTTCCTTAATGGTCTTAACTTTATCGTGAGTATTCCCTATTTGCCTTGGAGTGTAAACCCTTTTTTATTTCCCCATTCTTGGACATTACAGTTAGTTCTCAGCAATCACTTTATTTCATTCGTTGGAGAACATCAGTTCTGCGGTTTTGGGAAAATACAATGTTAAAAGTGAAAGAAGCGGATATTAAGAAATTTATTCTATTTTTGAGAACAGTTTGGTCATAAATTTCAGGGGGAAAGTAAACACAACAAAGCATTTATATATTGGACCAATCAGTTCCAGCAAACTAATGCCAGTAAAGATTTAAGGAAATCTGGGGCTTTCTGTTTTAAATTAATTGGGTATGAACACTTGACTAATTGCTAAACAAATATTTTACCCCACTTCATGAGCTTATATCCTTAAATGTCCAGGCTACAATTTCGGTGTTTGATTGAAAAGATTGTCTTAATTTTCTTTCTCAAGCTCAATCACTAGCAGAAGTGCGATGTGAGATGGCCTCAACTTGTCCTTTCATTGCGTAGCTGTGTGTGATTAACTATGGCAGGGCATTCAGGAATCCCAAATGACTTGCTGTTATTTGGAACATTCCTATGCACTCGTTCTTCATCTTCTTCTCAAACCACATGATCTTCATCTCCTTCCTGCGCTCTCTGACAATATGTTTCAACTTTTCTTATTGAAATTGAAGATCACATGGGCTCCTTTCTTCCCCTGTCATGTGCCTGTCAGATTTAATCAGGTTACTTTGGAAGTTGCAGTCATTCTGTAGCTCAGTCACTCTTGAGAAAGCTGCTGCTTGTTGGTGGAAACTAACAGATGAAAGACTTTCTCTCCCAGTGTGTTCTAGAATTTTTCTGAACACAGGAAAATTAATAGTGATAACAGAGAAAAAAATTGGTTCTTCCATGTCCTAGGGAAACGAAATCTTTATTTGGAAAGGAAATCTAAAAGAAAGTTTCATTTTAAGGTGTAGGGGCACTAAGGGAGTATGTATAGACATTTCTTACATAATTCTGTATCCCTACAGCATCTAGCTCAGTACTTTGTATACTGCATAAATTTATAAATATTAAATAAAAAAATTTTAATTTAGCTACTTGCAGAATTATTCCATTTGTATGACTTTTTTTCTGAAAAATTTTTTCTCTTAATTAAGGCATCAGAAAAGAGTATTTGTAGGATACTTTGATTTAGAAAAGATAACCTAGAGCAGTGGTCGGCAAACTCATTAGTCAACAGAGCCAAATAACAACAGTACAGCGATTGAAATTTCTTTTGAGAGCCAAATTTTTTAAACTTAAACTATATATGTAGGTACATTGTTATTAACTTAATTAGGGTACTCCTAAGGCGTAGGAAGAGCCACACTCAAGGGGCCAAAGAGCCACATGTGGCTTTCGAGCCGCAGTTTGCCGACTAACGGACCTAGAGTAACTCTTTACTTTTTGGAGAAATTGCCTGCCTCAGACAGAAGTGGAATGCTTGCCATACTTGACCCTTTCAGTTCTTTATACAGTGCTTTCTCTGAGAAGTCAAAATGTTTTCTAAGTCTGCTACAGCAGCTCTATTAAACAGGTAGCCAGCAAGGTGATAGCCAGTTCACAGCAGGGTACACAGAAGCAATGGAGATGAACAAAGCAAACATCCACAAATCCCTGAAGTCACAGGAAAACTTAGCTGAGTTTAGACACTGCTTTGGCCCCCTCTGCCTACCTCCCTTCCCTGTGTACAGGACAACTCAGAAGTGCTCAGATAGTTTCTATGGTGGGGTCAAAACTTGCCTGTCAGCCTGCTGGGGTGGCTCAGTGGTTGAGTGTTGACTCATGAACCAGGAAGTCACTTCCTGGTTGGTGCACATGCCCAGGTTGTGGGCTCGATCCCCAATAGGAGGGAGCATGCAGGAGGCAGCTGATCATTGTTTCTATCTCTTTATCCCTCTCCCTTCCTCTTTCTCTAAAATCAATAAAAACACATTTTTTAAACAAAAAACAGCCCTTGCCTGTCTGCTCATGGCACAACAAACTTGAAGCTAAAAAAAGAAATCCAACAAGCCGTATATTCTTGAGAAAATAAAAGTTAGCATGATTTTTCTTAATATAGCTCCTTTTGCGACATAGAGGCCTTGACAAACAGCAGTTCCACTGTGACTCAGATCGACCTTATCATCTATTACCATTCCCTCTTGAATTGGTAACTTCCCTTTCATATACACAGAATTGTCGCTTTTCCAGAAGCATACTGCAGGCTAAGAACAGTGGTGGTTCTGAACTGGCGAATCCAGTTATATTTGCACACAATTGGTGCTCTAAGTGAACGGTTTAATTGCCTGTCAGGAATAGACTTGCCATGGAATCATAGACTTTGGGAGTTGGAAAAACGCTATAGGTGTCTCTGTTGTAGGCCATTAGGGAGAGGTTTTTTATAAATGCTTCTCTAACATCAATAAAAAATATACATATTTTTTAAAAAGCTTTCAGCCCGAGGGGTTGGTGATAGTTGTCAGGAAACTCGGCTTTTACAAAGGCTATAGAAGATTCCTTGCAGCTTAGTCTAGATTGCTCCAAATCAAACCATCATATTTGCTGAGCACTGGCTCTGTTTGTGGTAAGCGTGAAGATTGAGAAAACCAGGTATTGCAGCTTGCCAAGGCAGAGATGGTGGCCTCAGTGGAGAACCTTGGTCTTAGACTTGAAGATGTCAGTGAGAGTTCTGACTTTGCCAGTTAATCGTCAAGCTTTGTGACCTTAAAAAAATTAACCTTGTTATGTTCTTGTTCCTTCAACTATAGAAAGGGAATAATAACTTTTCATGATTATAGAGCTAAATAAAACACCATATGATTGTGTTGCGGATTAAATGGTTGTAATATATGTAGAGTACTAGGCAAATGTAAAGTACAATCTTTTTTTTAAAAAAAAAATTAGTTTTAAAGAAAGAGGAAAGGAAATAGAAAGAGAGAAACATCAGTGTGAGAGAGAAACATCAATCAGTTTGACCCCCAATAGGGATCGAATCTGCAACCTAGGTATGTGCACTGACTAGGAATCAAACCCACAATCTTTTGGTATGTAGGATGATGCTCCAACCAACTGAACTACTCAGCCAGGGCAATCTTAATTTTTTTAAAAAGCACTCAGTTGTTTTCTTTCCTAATAGTTAAAAGTAGATATTGATCTTATGAGGTATCATCGCTGTATGACTGTATCCAATTGTCTTTGCAAATTAGGAGAAAGGATTAATAAAGTTCACATACAATCTCAGGAAAGTAGTACATTTCCCTAACTAAATTTTTATTAATTTGAGCTTCCCCTTCTCGTACTCTCTTGTATATAATAAAGTAAGGAAAATACTAGAAGAAAGAAAGTAAGAGATGTAGAAAAGTTATCCTACATAATAAAAGGCTAATATGCAAATCAACCAAATGGCAGAATGACCGGTTGCTATGCAGGAGCTGCCCCCTGGTGGTCAGTGTGCTCTCACAGGGGGAGCATAGCTTAGCCAGAAGCCCTGAGCCAGGCTTATGGCTGGTGAGTGCAGCGGTGGTGGTGGGAGCCTCTCCCGCCTCCGCGGCAGTGCTAAGGATGTCCGACTGCCCTACGGGGAGTGGGCCTAAGCTGTCAGTCGGACATCCCCTGCGGGCTCCAGGACTGCGAGAGGGCACAAGCCGGGCTGAGGGACCCCCCCCAACCCCCCGCCTCGAGTACTGGAATTTCGTGCACCAGGCCTCTAGTGTTATATAAAATTCTTCTAGATTATCCATTTGATTGTACAGAAAAGTCATATTCTGTAGTGTAAGTACTCAAGAGATGAAAACAGGGCAACTCACCGTCACTCTGATTTTTGTTTTTCTCAACCCTATAATGATAATACTCTGTGCCAGACACTCTGCTAAACATTTTACATGAATTATCTCATTTGATTCTCAATAGCACTATTTTACATTTGAAGAAACTGAGACATAGGAAGGTTCAGTAACTTGCATGAGATTACATAGTCTTCACGTGTTATGGATTGAATTGCATTCTACCAAAATTCGAATGTTGAAGTCCCAGCCTCCAGTAGCTCCAAATGTAACCATATTTGGAGGGAGGCCTTAAAAGGGGTGAGTAAATTAAAATGAGGCCATTAGGGTGGGCCCAATATGACTGGTGTCCTTATGAGAAGAAAAAGAGATACCTGGGATGTGCTCACAGAGGAAAAGCCATGTGTGAACACAGCAAGAAGGCACTGCAAGCCATGGGCAGAGGCCTCAGGGGAAGCCAAGCCTGCTGACACCTTGACCTTGGACTTCTAGCCTCTAGAACTCTGAGAAAATTAATTTCTATTGTTTAAGCCACTCAGCCTGTGGTATTTTGTTACGGCAGACTAATACATCAAGTGATAGAGCCTGTATTTAAATTCTGGTCTGTCACTTCATTAGTTTTATAACTTTGGTCTAGTTACTTACCCTCTCTGTGTCTCATCTATAAAATGGCAATAATAATTGTATCTCCCATAGGGTTGTGAGAATTGAATTAATTGACATATGTAAGTTAGAAGAGGGACACGTAATGAGTACTCAGTTACTGTTAATATGTGCATGTCAGAATATCTGTGCCTTTTGTCCCTCATAGTGGTGAGGGTGGAGGTAGCCAGCACTCACAGAGCCTTTACTCTGACTCCATAGATTCCCCCTTTCAATTCAAATTTTATGGAGCAAATGTCAGAAAGCTCTAGACCAGACCCATAGAATCAGAATTCTTGGC